ATGATCCTTTTTTAGCTGGGTCTTTTTATCATTTGTTGATAATAATTATGGTCATTTGTGATAATTGTGGGCTATTGTGTCATGTCTTGCAGGAGCCACTGGTTTATTTCACTTTTTTCGTCTGTCCCGACGCGCACTTCAGTAATAATTGTCATTAAGATAATTAGTTAACTGGTATGTGGCCAGGGCCCCTGGTCATTCAAAGAGTTTTCAGTTTATTAAATGAAAAGCTATGACGAAACACGAAGGCAGCAGCGATCCAAAGATTTACTATGCCAGATTAAATGGTGTTTGGCCTGAGAAAAGTGAAAATCCTTTTCGGAAAAGGTCGTAAAAGTTGGCCACCAACATACCCGCGGATCGTAAAAACGGATTTGCTGAATGAAAATGCGTTTTTAATTGTGTGAAAATGGGGAAATTATGAAACAGATCGCCTTGCTGCTGGAATCATTCGTTGCCCACTCTAGATACGATTTCTTCCGAGAATCGCCAACATGGAGAGAACAAAGAGAAGGAATGACAACTTCCTGATGAATGGCAATTTGTGAGCTATAAATCGCGATTGAAATGCTCGTTTATCTTATCGCGATTGAGCCGAGCACCACCCAAATAGTTTCCACAAAGAACTCTCATAATTAAATTATGCAAATTTCGCACTCTCCGTTCGTCGGCGCCATCAAAGCCGAGCAATAAAGCACCAAAAACCAAATCAAGACTACATAGATATGTGCATATATGTATCTAGATTGTTTTTGGCCAGGTGATCACCGCTTTTGGGCGTTTTCCTTTCGGCAGTGAGGGAGACTTGTTAACCTGTCACATCGTTAAAGATTTGATTGACTTTGCTCAGGAAGCCAAAAAAATCTGGGCGGTCGCCACAAGATCTTAATGAGAAAATAATGTAGCGTATTTAAATGTGTGGCGGGGCCACTAAAGTTTATTGCGAAAAAATGTCTGCTTTGTGGTTGAGAGCCTGCACTTCAAGAAATTATGTGTGCTATTTTATTTTCCTCTGCTAGTAAAAAGGATATTACATACATACAACTTGTCAGACCATTCAAAATGTACAACGTTGGAGAAATATTCTTGACTACATCTGATTTGAAAAACCTCAATAATTGCATAGCAATCTTCTTCGAAGGAAGCTTTTCTTTCAGTGTCATCCTAGTTTAATCTATGCTCAAATTTGTAGTTAATCGTTCAATTTCGGATACACACCACCACCAACAACAACAACAACAACAACGAAATCAACCAGTTTGCGTTGGCGACAACTTTGCATTCCCCTCGACGAAGAAACATTTTTTCCAGTTGGGTTCGTTGCTGGTTTCAAGATTTATCACCATTCTTCACACAATTTCTCAATAAGCAGATCAATCGGTGCTCTCGCTCGCACATTTGTATGGCCATCTCGCTCAGCCATGGGATTTCAATGAAATGTGTTTTCGAATAAAAATGGTCCATGCGATGCGATCGAATTTAAATTGAAAAATTTGATTTTAATTCTTGCATTCGAAATGTGTTTTCATTAACATAATTAACGTCCGATTAAATGTTTAGTATCGCCCTCCCTCTCACTTTTCAGCCCCATCCCCCTCGCTCGCGCCGTATACTTGTACATTTTCGTTTGAATTGTTGTTAAAATAAAATAAATTACATTTTAAGAGCAAAGAAAGTTCCCTTCAAAGACGTTGACAGCTATTCGTCAGTCCATTAAATTAGGGTTTTTTTGTTTATTTTTGTTGGTTTCTGGGGGCTTGTATTATTTGTTTATTGGTTGCATTAAAAGTCAAACGATCTCGGGCGTGTTTGTTTCATCACTTTCGTGGGTTTTTCAATATGGGGGGTCCATGGGGGATCCAAGATGTTCAAGCTGGGGGTTGGAAGGGGGCAGGTGGCTTCCCCATTGATTTATGTTTGTCGCTCATTTATATTGAAATTTGATATATGCGAGCGCAAGCTGTTCATTTTGCAAAAGCCGCCGTCTCCACTTCGTATTTTATATTCGAATTAATTGAAATGATTGTGATCTACAACATTGCCCAGCCATACGCCTCGCATATTCATATGCACATATGTATGTATATAGTTTAGCCACTTTGGATCTGTATATACAAACATACATGTGTATATATGTACGTGCATATATAATTCACGAATATCGCTTTGTTCGCGCTCTACTCTCCTTTGTCTCTGTCTCGTTTTCAGCGAACTTTTATTTCATCCATATAAATTATATCTCGGGCAGACAATAGTATAACACCTCCTAAATGCTGTTGTTAGGGCCCTGTTTTAGTTTTATAGCCAAGGCCTGACATATGCATAAGTGATGTGGGGCTTTTGGATCATTGGAAGTGATTGGGAATTATAAGGTGGGCGTTACTTCAGAATTTGCATGCACATCTTTGACCATTTACAAGAACTTTCAAGTTGCCGACAAGCATAAACTGTTAAGACTAAAACTATATTAAATTGTCAATTTTATATATAATTTGTTTATATTTATTTTGTTAGTGTATGTATTTATATACCTCACTTTTTTTACCTGGAAACTCAGAACTTGAAACTTTTGCGCTCTTTGGCCGCCTTGAAAAATCAGAAAGCCCAAAAAGGTCGTTCAATCTTATTGCCAAAATGTTGGACCCACCATCGCTGGAAATAAACTTGGCAAATCAACACATTTGTCAAGCTACACATAACAAGGCGCAGACAAGAAGGCCCAAAGAGCCAAGCAAAAGCAGCAAAAACAAAAGTCCAGCCAACCAAGGAAATTAAACGGAATCCGAAAGGAGGACAAAACCCGCACCGGAGTTGAAGATCGGAGGGGAAATCCAAGGCAAAGTTGATCACCCGCTGACAGAAAATCACTTGGCAACGCGGCTGATCATTAACCGATAACACATGACATTAAAGAGTTCCACAAAGAAGTTTTAAACGCACACAAAACAAGATAAATGCCGACCACCCCAATGTGGGGGAACCCAGTCGACTGAACGAACTCCGAATCCCGACAATAACGAGCGGAAAATTAATAGTGTGAACAATGAAGAAGAACCGTGGGGAGATCCAGGAGGAGATCGGGGGGATCGGTGGATGGGGCATGGGGAAAGGGGATCTCTGGGCATCTGAGATAGGTATCAGCTTACATTGGAGACGGCCCCATAACGACGACGGTAGTAAGGAGTTGGAAATTTGTCAAAATGTCAACGGGTGAAACAGTTTTGGAGCGCACACGGAGTCACCTGGACGCGATGGGATGCTACGGATGGAGATGGCGGTTGGAGGGACTTTGCATGGGGCAACCACGTAGCTTTTGTAAAACAAACCATTAGCGGCTAATAAACATTAGTCATGCGACAAAAACCAAGTCTCCTGCAGTCCGCAGAGGCCCGATGATTTAGTGAGTGTAATTAAAACTTAAGTTTCCATCGCTTCGCATATGTAAATAAATCTGACGGAATTCCACGAACTGCCAACCGAATTGAAAAAAGAACGAAATACGAAATACGAAAAAGAGTTTTTCAACTAAGGTTGAACAAGTTTTATGGTGTTTGGCTCTCCCCCACCTCCGCCCCGTTCTCATATGTATAATTATAACGAATCGCCTGTTTAATCCAAATTTATGCAGATCGTGGCCAACCAAAGCGAGCAGCGCGTGTTGACAGTCAAACCATTATCAATCACTGCAAGGAGCATCGGTAGTCGGTAGTTGGCTAGCTGGCCACTGTTCCCGGAGCATTTCAGGGGGGGATTCTCCGACAGCCAGTCCTGATAAGATCGTTTTGTAAGCGATCGCGGACAAAATGCTGTACAAGATTGCGCCATGTGCATTAGAGGCTCTATTCGCTAATTACCAATTGGGTGTGCGACTTTCATCCAGTCGTTGGGATTCAGAAATTGACCAGAATTTCACCGGATCCCATTCCATGTAGCTGTAAATGTATACCACTTCATTTGTATCTGAAGCTTCCTTGAATTCTGCTGGTGTGTCACCAGCTGACTCCACCTGTGTGCATCCTCAGAGTCCTCGGCCTGGATACCTGGTGATTTATGTGCGCTTCGTCCAATCACAAATCACTTGGGCAGCATTTTGTTTTGCACATTTTTATGGCCGCTACTGATGCTATGCAAGTCGAGGAAGTGGTCACAGTCCCGATGGGAACTGGATTTAATGGTTGAAGTTAATGCTTCAGCTTGCAGTATTTGTAGGGTTTGGATTAGATTCTTTGCCCAAAATAATATTACAAATTAAATTGATATTAAATCTTTAATAAAAGATATAGAGGCTTTTGGTCAACACTTTTTAGCTCGCAAGAAAAATACCCGACATCCTGCACACCATTTTGGCCATCGTGCCAGTTATGTCATCGCCATAGCCCATAGCTTCAGTTCCTTCCCACACTCGCACGCGGCCAGGACTGCGCAGCCGTGACCAACCGAGTCACCTCAAAAGATGATCGCTGCGCATGCGCGTAACCGTAAGATTCACACATGCCTGGGAATCGGATTCGGAATCGGGCGAGGATGTGGATGTGGATGTGGATGTGGATATGGATGAGAATGTGAATGTGTGTGGGGATGAGGATGAGGAACAAGAGAAATACATTTTGAAAATTTAACGATGCGCACATTTTATTACCGCAATTAATTACAAAAACAACGCGGCCAAAACGAAATCTTAGTCACTTTATCAGTGAGGTCCAGTGGAAAAAGAGAAAGAGCGAGGAGCGAGAGGGAGAGGGAGAGCGATCTGAAAGGAGCGATAAGCTTTATGATAGATGTGACTAGTAGAACGCTACTACCAAATGGTTCTGGGTCTGCAGATTGCAGCTACTCTCGTAATTGGAGGCGCGACAGTTTGTCTCCAGCAGTCAAACGTGGTTAATTGGAGAGACTCCCGGTCTATGAGAGCGATGCGGAGCGAGACCTGTGCGGCGAAACCTGTTTCTCGACCAATTAAATGCGAGAGCGGGAGCGTAAGCCAGGCTTTAGGCCCGGCCAAAAGACGATGACGGCTGCTGTGGGCTGTGAGCCCAAGACATTTCGTGTTTCGACGCGTAACGCGACAGTACCCCCTGGCTACAAAGCGCCTCCGCCTCAGAAAACAGCCATCGGAAACGGCTAACGCCAGCGGTCTATGAGTGATTCTTCGGCGTGGAGAAGAATGGGTTTCAAGCACGCCATGCTGCAGCGCAGTTATGACCTCTCGCCCTCGCCGGCGCGTACATCACCCACCAATGGAATCCAGCACTTGGGTGCTGCCAACCAGTTGCCACCGGCTCAAGTCACTGACTTTAGCATTAGTAAGATTCTGGGCAAGGAGCGTAAAACCGCTCAGGATACGACCACGAATATCCTGGATCTCTCCAAGAGCAGTGGCAATAGTATTAGGAGCCCGCAGCCTGTTGCAGTACTGCCAGTACCATCATCTCACTATGGCACTGCCTACTCCATGTTGCCGCCAGACTTGGTGGCCATGGCCAATGCCACCAAGTTCTATGCCCAGTTCTTTCCGCACTTATTGCCCGCCTACGCGGCTGCTGCAGCAGCAGCCGGCTTGAGTACTCCACCCACATCGCCCTACCAAACGCATCAGCATCAGCAGCAGTTGCAGCAGCAGCAGCAGCAGCATTTGCCAAATCCGCAGAAACGCTTCTTTGCACCCTATGTGATCAATGGCTCGGTGCCGCCACCACCAGCACCACCACCACTGCAGCAACCTCTCCTCCGCACCAAGAGCACCGCATGCACTCGCCCGGATTGCCCCGAGTGCCTGGACTACTACCAAAGATTGCAGACTGGGGGTGGCTACAAGCAGACCACACCTCTCATTTCACCCGCCGCCTCCTCGGTGGGCAGCTCCAGCGGCTCAGTGCGTCCGGTGAGGGATCTGATCATGAGCGCCGCTGGAGGAGCCGCCGGCACAAACATCTCGCTGACCACCGTGACCAATCTGAGCCTGAGTTCGGTCCAGGCAACGGCCGTCGGAATGATGCCCAAGATGGCCGGAGGACTGATCTCCACAGCCGTCGGCAGCGCCAGCAGACCAATCGGGGGTATCGGTGGTATCGGTGGATACAACGCCACATCCGCCGAGGAAATCAGCTACAAGTGCAGGATTTGCGAGAAGGTGTTCGGATGCTCCGAAACTCTGCAGGTGAGCTTATATTATTATTATTATCTAATTTATACCAGGATGGTGTCCTGCTGAAAGTAAATTATATATTTTATCTACTTTTAGTTAGTTATTAGCCTTAGTAAGGATATACAACCTATTCCAGCTAAAACCCACAGATTCAATAAAATATTGTAATCTTTGAAAGACGGGTTATTTAAAAAACACAAATTTTATTTAAAAGCCTTTTAGACGGCATTTAAATATTTCTGGAGAAGTATTTATAGAGTACAAAGTGTGCAAAGTTTTTATTTTATGACTTTTAAAATTTTTTTAAAAATTAATCACAAAAGAAACGAAAGATTTAGATTGGTTGATTATATTTTTTTGTACTTTGTTGGTGTTTAATCATATGAATGCCAATCACAATAAATTAATCTATAAAATTTGCTTATAAATAAAGTAACACTAACAACCGTATACGTATAACCATTTAAGAATCCTTAAAATCAATTTTCTACTTACACACAGGCACATGTATTTTATCCCCCCATTTTAAGTGACAAAATATTTAATGATTATATTCGAACCAGCGGGTTTCTATGCATGCAATGTGTTTCTGGGCAATCTTAAATGATTGAGCATTATTATTGCCAAGCCATTTAAATATCTTTAGGAATTTAACTCCTTTCAAAACATCCAAGCCAAGAACAGCATTAACCTTTCCTATGGCCATACATCACATCAGATATTGTTTGCCCGGTCCTCAAAGTCAAGTGGCACACGAGATCCTCCCAAAACGGGTTTCTTCACCAACTGAGATACCACCTGGAATGGGGCGGGGCCTAAAATACAGGCAAACAGTAGTCCAATTGGTAGGCGGAGCTCCCGAGAGAAGAGCTGAGATTCAAGTGGAGTGGGGAAGAGAGAGCCAGCGAAGAATTGAGTGCCTTATGCAAATCTCGCAAGCAGCCCGTTCAAAATGGAGTCGGCCGAAAACAGAAGCGGGCAAAAAAGAAAAGAGAGAACTGGTTTTACGCATGGGTGCAGCTACGAGATACGTTAGAAAGAGCAAGCCGCCGAGCGAGCGAGAGGTATTCACAAAATGGCCCCTTGGAGAAAGAACAGCAACTCAAATTGAATAATTGCAAGTTTCAGTTTTTGAAGTTGCTTACAGAATGATTAACACGAACAAGAAACACTTGTCTGTACAAACGTCCTATACCCTGCATTCCTGGCTTACTTTGTATAGGCATATACGATATCTATATCTATACGTTATCGTTTATCTAACGTTCGGTTTTCTGAACTTCATACTTATTTTTTAAAAGAAATTCGCAAAATGCTTATAAACTTTCAGTGCAAAACTGTACTGAACCCACCTCTGTAATACATGTGATATTAGGAAAAAATTAACAAGCGTAATTCCCTTGCTAAGCATGTTAATCCTAAAATCTTTGTATAAAAATTTATTTTGGCTTGTAGAACATCCTTGTTTTATGATCTAAGCAACCAACTTTAACTATTTAGGACTTGGTCAAGACTTATTAATCTCTTCATTCTAATAAAAAGGGTAATCTTAATGAAAATATCACTATTGTTAAGCAAATTGCTTCAAATGCATGTTTATTAAATTTCATTTTTTATGAATTTATTTCAGGCTCATGAAAAGACTCACAAATCGCCGCGCTACGAGTGTGCGGATTGTGGAAAGGGTTTCTCCCAGCTGCGAAACTACAAGTATCACCTGTCCGTTCACCGTGGAACCAAGGAGTTTGCGGCCGAGTGTCCCGAATGTGGCAAGACATTCAACGACAAGGGCTACTTGAGCAGTCACCTGAAGATACACCGCAACCGGAAGGAGTACGAGTGTCCCTACTGTCCCAAATCGTTCAATCAGCGTGTGGCCTTCAATATGCATGTGCGTATCCATACGGGTGTGAAACCCCACAAATGCAACGAGTGCGGAAAGAGATTTTCGCGTAAAATGCTGCTCAAACAGCACATGCGAACGCACAGTGGTGAGAAACCGTATCAGTGCTCCGTGTGTGGCAAGTCCTTTGCGGATCGCAGCAACATGACCCTGCACCATCGCCTCCACTCGGGAATCAAGCCCTTCAGCTGCCCCCTGTGCCCCAAAGCCTTCACCAAAAAGCATCACCTGAAGACGCACCTCAATTACCATACCGGCTGCAAGCCGTATGTCTGCCCACATCCCAACTGCAACCAGGCATTCACCCAGTCGAGCAATATGCGCACCCACGCCAAGAAGTGCCAGTACCGTCCACTGGATGGACTCACCGTCACAGCATCCGCACTCCCAGTGCCAGGAAAACAGCAGCAAATTGCACCACCACCCACTTTGGCAATGGCCATGGCTCAAACTTTTCAAATGCCGCCACCACCTGGAGCTCTGGTAGCTGGATCTGGTCCTCAATCCCAACCGCCGACCCAGCAAACCCTGCTCAGCAATCTCAGGACATTCTAAGCCGATGGAATCGTAGTGTCCTGGCCAGTATCAACCAAATTTTGTGGCAATTACAAAGATCAGTACTTCCACTGTTGTTATTCATTTTACACTTATTTTCAAGCAACGATTTTGCTAAAGTTAAATTAGGACTAGACTTAAATTTAGGGTATCAATACATAACAAACATTTTATTTCGATAAAAAATAAAAAGATAATCGCCAGTCAATAAAGTAAAAAATAAAAAACAAAAAAACTAAGCAGCTTCTAATTTTTGTTCACTTTGCAATTCAGTTTGGATTGCAAATATAATTGAGTGCGGTTTTCGTTGGTGTCTGGGTCCAACTTTTCATATATAGTCTCTACTCTGATAATGCAGTCTTATTTAAGTCAAATTTGACGATGAAAAATTCAAAATAGAATTTAGAAGGCCACTACTTGTTTTTCTTATGAAACTAATGCACGAACCGTTGCTGTACATTTAACATATTTAAAAGTGCACTTGCAGTCAGCCAGATGGCGCCACCTGATAGCTTAACACCACTGTAAGTGCTGCTTATGTCAAATTTTATGCTGTTATGTTACATATGTTGCTGTTCAATTTTATTAGCAGCGGTCCCAAATTCGAGTTGGCAATTCTTCACCACAAATATCGATAGGTCGATTGCTGTCGATATGCGACCTACCGATATCAGTGGGACCAGTGTGTCCGGTATGACCGTATTGGGTAGTTTTGTTAGCAATATCATTTTAGCAAGCAGAAAATACGCAGGAAAAGCGCATAAAAGTCAGTGAAAAGTGCCTGCGGACCCAGGCTGCGGTCTATCTAGTTGGCCGGAGAAAGCCCTTCACCAAATTCAATAGATCTGAGAATTGGATTTGGTTAACATCGCCAGTTGGCTCAATTTCACCATTGCACACGTGTCTGGAGCTTCGCTGTGGTTCGGTCACCTCCTCCGCGGATTGCAGACGATCCCGCGGTAGCGCTGGGAAATGCCCAGCAGACAGCGCCGGCCAGTTAGAGATTTTTCCGGCGGCAAGGAAGCGTTTGCAACAGCAGCAGGCGCTGGTGACCAACGGAAGCAACGGACTGTCCATGGCTGAGTACTGGCAGCAGTTGACCAACGGCGCCGGAGAACCGGGACCCGGGAATGAGTCACCCGCCATGGCCGCCTGCAACGGAGGTCACGAATCGGCGGCAATTGGTGGCTCCAACAACATGCATGGCAACAACAATTACGTGAACTTCAATCAGTTTATAATGCAGCACAATCTGGGTGGTGGAGCGCCCACCAATGCCACAAGCACTATGCAACATCCGCTGGGCAGCAGCGACACAAACTACTCCCTTGGCGGCGGCGGGGGAGCCTTTGGACTGAATCCACCAGTGGCATCTGCGAACACCAACGACTTTGCAAATGTGAGTCATCAATCTCCGACGGTTGAAAATCAGTTATCTAGAATGTATTCTATCTATTCCTTAAGCAGTTTTACTCGCAGCCCATATTTCCATCTTATCAAAATGGCGATGGCATCGCTAGCGGCGCCTTCACCAACAGTTATGGATCGGGCAATCCGAGCAGCAGCAATTTTTCGAGTCTTTACACACCGTTTGGCAATAATCCGTTTGACTTCAGCGCTTCCAAGCTGCAGGCCTCGGCTCCGGAATTCGTGCCCAATTTGGCCAAGCTGAGTCTGGAAGAGACCCCGCCAGCCACTACGAACGGAAACAGCACTGCCAGCCTAGAGACTGCCATTAATGAGACGAGGCCTAGGACTCTTCGGGCCCAAGAACCAGCTGAACGAGGAGCTAACAACCACCGCTCGAACCACAATTACGAACGGGACCGTGAGCGGGAGCGGGAGCGAGAGCGTGACAGGGACTCCAGGCCCGGAAGTACGCGTCAGCAACGCCGCTCCGACTATCGTGACGATCGGGAGGACCGGTATGAACGAAGCGATCGTAGGAGGCCGCAGAAGCAGCAACGCTACGACAATCATCGCAGCAACAAACGGAGGGATGACTGGAATCGCAACAGGGACCGCATCAACGGCTTTCCAAGGGCCGTTGACGATCTGGATACGAGCAATGAGAGCGCCCATCCATCGCCCGAAAAGCAGTCGCAACAGCAGCAAATCTCTCCAAGGAGAGGTCCACCGCCACCACCGGCGGATAACGAAAAACTATCGCAGCGAGAGAAACTAATTCGCGACATCGAACAGCGCCGTTTGGAGTGCCTTGTATGCGTGGAGGCGATCAAGGCGCACCAGCCAACCTGGTCGTGCCAAAACTGCTATCACTTGCTCCACCTCAAGTGCACCATCACTTGGGCGAGCAGCTCCAAGTCCGAGGTGGGCTGGCGTTGTCCAGCTTGCCAGAATGTGCTGCAGGAGCTGCCACGCGAGTATCTCTGCTTCTGTGGCAAACTGAAGAACCCGCCGGTATCACGGACCGAATTGGCCCACAGCTGTGGCGAAGTCTGTTGCCGAATTGAGGGTTGTAGCCACGCCTGCACTCTGCTCTGCCACCCGGGCCCTTGTCCGCCGTGCCAGGCGAACGTGGTGCGTAGCTGTGGATGTGGGCGCAGCTCAAAAACGATGCAGTGCGCCATGAAGGAAGAGCTGCTCTGCGGCGAGATATGCGACAAGCCGCTCAACTGTGGCGAGCATCGCTGCCAGGCGGAGTGCCACTCGGGCAAGTGCGCAGCGTGTCCCGAACAAGTGGAGCAGCATTGCCACTGCGGCAAGCAGGAGCGCCAGGTGCAGTGCACTCGCGAAAGCCAGGACAAACGCAGCTATTCCTGCAAGGACAGTTGTGGTAAACCGCTTCCCTGCGGCAACCACAAGTGCAAGGACTCGTGCCACGCTGGAAGTTGTAGGTAAGGTCAAAGTCATTTCTCAGAGGCATTTCTTATACCAACTCAAAAATATAGAAACAAATTGCAATCTCTATTGTTGTAAATCGATAACAACAAAGCGGTTTAAACTCGAAACTCGTCTTACGTTTCTAAAATATGTGCATTAAACATTAACCAAAGAAACAAAAACAAATCCTGCTAAACTTTAGAATTGAATTTTATATGAACCAATTTTATGGTAAATTATTCAGCGTAAATCGTTTGCAATCGGGTCTTTGTGTAGATTACTGTGAAACAAATGCCCGATAAACTGATAAAATCAATCGTTTCAGACCCTGTAAGCTGAGTCCCGAGCAGATAACCAGTTGTCCTTGCGGCAAAATGCCTGTACCGGCTGCCCAGCGTTCCAGCTGCCTGGACCCGATTCCCACTTGCGAGGGCATCTGCTCCAGGACGTTACGTTGCGGGAAGCCGGCGCATCCACACCAATGCGGCAGCAAGTGTCACCTGGGCCAGTGCCCTCCGTGTCCCAAGCAGACGGCTGTGAAGTGTCGCTGCGGTCACATGGACCAAATGATCAAGTGCCGGCAGCTATCCAGCAGAGCGGACGATGCCCGCTGCAAGCGACGGTGCACCAAGAAGCGCAGCTGTGGAAAGCACAAGTGCAACGCCGAGTGCTGCATCGATATAGATCACGCTTGTCCACTGCCCTGCAATCGCACCCTCAGCTGTGGCAAACACAAGTGCGATCAGCCGTGCCACCGGGGCAATTGTCCGCCATGCTATCGCAGCAGTTTCGAGGAGCTCTACTGCGAGTGTGGTGCCGAGGTGATCTATCCACCAGTGCCGTGCGGCACCAAGAAACCAGTCTGCAAGCGCCCTTGCTCGCGCTCTCATCCATGCGAGCATCCGCCGCAGCACAACTGCCATTCGGCGGCCAACTGTCCGCCCTGCATGATGTTCACCACGAAATTCTGTCACGGCAACCACGAGCAGCGGAAGACCATTCCATGCTCGCAGCCCAACTTCAGCTGTGGCCTGGCCTGTGGCAAGCCGTTGCCATGTGGCGGGCACAAGTGTGTAAAGCCGTGTCACGAGGGCGCCTGCCAGTCTGCGGGTGAGATCTGTCGCCAGAGCTGCACCAAGCCACGAGCAAACTGTGGCCATAAGTGTGCCTCTGTCTGTCACGAGGGAGCCTGTCCGGAAACGCCTTGCAAGGAGCTGGTGGAGGTGCAGTGCGAGTGCGGCCACCGCAAGCAGAACCGCAGCTGCCAGGAACTAGCCAGGGAGCACAGTCGTATAGCCACCATCCAGCTGGCCTCATCCATGGCCGAGATGTCGCGCGGCAATTACATGGAGCTCAGCGAAATCTTGGCTCCAGGCAAAAAATCGAATAGAACGTGAGTGGTTTCTTTTCGGGCAGATTTAAGTTGTTATGGGTATTAATATTCGTACCGTTTTGTCTTTAGTTTGGATTGCAACGACGAGTGTCGTTTGCTGGAGAGGAATCGTCGACTGGCTGTGGCCCTGTCTTCTGGAAATCCCGATACAAAGCAAAAGTCCCTTACCAAGTACTCGGAGTTTGTTCGTGGGTTCGCTAAGAGGAACCCAGCGCTGACCAAGAGCGTTTACGAGACGCTGACCGACTTGGTAAAGTTGGCGAAGGAAAGCAAGCAGAGGTCGAGGAGCCACTCCTTCCCCACGATGAATCGCGAAAAGAGGCAGCTAGTGCACGAGTTGTGCGAGATATTTGGGATTGAATCGGTTTCCTATGACAAGGAGCCAAATCGCAATGTTGTGGCCACGGCTCACAAGGATAGGGTGAGTTCAAGCTTGTTTAGCACCAACTAAATCACATGCTCATTTGGATTAACTATTCGCAGTGCTGGTTTCCCGCAACAAGCATCATGGAAGTGCTGGCTCGCGAGTCCGGGCAACGCCGTGTCCCGGTGCCCAGTAACAATGCTTGGGGCTTGAAGAAGTAGAGCAAATCCTTGTGGATATTTGTATACAAAGATATTCTATATATTTAATCGTTGGCGCTGGAATACAATACTTTAAAATGGATAAATGATGTGGTAGGGAGCCTGGATGAGTTATTGATTGATCCTACATGAAGGAACGTTGAATGCGCGGCGAGGACAATACAGAAGGATTATTGCCGTTACCACGTATATTTTTTAAATTATAACAAATGTTAGTTGAACCCCCTAGAATGCTAAATGTTGAATACTTGAATATGGAGTGGAGTGAACTGGATAAGCTGGCACAAATGTGAAGAATCATGTTAACCAATCTGTTGTAC